TTTACTGTGTTGAACCTTGTTTCCCTTGTTTGCTTCTGGCCTGGAGAGAAAGAGTCAGACTCTTTTCAGCAGTTCTCTTTCCGCAGGGGTTATTTTAGCCTGTTTTCAGCACTGCCTGGTCTTTCCCAGCCAGCTTTGATGATCAAACAAGGTCAGTTGCCCTGAAGGCCTGTCCTGAAGAAAGACAAATTATGGCAGCTCACAAAAGTGATAGATTTTTTAAAATGAGGAATAGGCTTTAAAAATTTGTTAATGTTTTTCATGACAAAATATTCCAGTGTTTCAAACGAGTCAGTAGTTTGAAAAATGCCTTTAGCAACATGAATGCAAGGCTGTCATAGGGAAAGAAATGCCTGCACCTCTGCTGAGAGTTTGCAAAAGAATAGGAAAAGAATTTGGCATCATTTACAGTGACAAGTTATTTTTTCCTATTTACAGTACTAAATGCAATAGATCTTTTTTCTTTGTGAGCACTTCTGAGATCATCTTTAAATGATTCTAAAGACAAGTATGTGTTTTTATAGCAGCTGTCAAGCTTTTGTTCTCAGTCTTAACCTAGTTGATGAAAATATCAAATATGACCAATGTCATACATGAATGCCTACACTGAAGTAGTCTTTTCACCTTATAAAAATATCTAATAATGAAGTAAATTTATTACTTGAATTAAATTCTAATATGGACTGTTCATGTTGTTGAGAGAGTAAGGCAGTTCTCAAAGAAACTTAGTCAAAATGTTCAGTCCTGAATGTATTACAAAAATATCAAATTTAATCTTAAGTACCCTTATTTTGATGAAACCAACATGAAGCTGAAATGTTTGTATGTATGTCCGAATGGAATAAAGGTGTTTGGGCCATTTAAATCCAGTTTTATTTTAGAGATTAAGATCCAGTTTTGTGACATTAAATGAAAAGACACAAATCAACGACTTGAGAAGTGGAAGAGGCACTTAATGTAAAATAATTACCAACCATGGTAACTTGAGACTATTTAGGTTTAAATGTCATCCAGCTAAATACAGCATGTCAAATTGAAGAGTCTTCTGAAACAAATTCTGACCTTCAATATTTGTAGGCTACAGTGGACAAGATGACAATTTTTTGGCTTTTTTTTGTTTATTGTCTTTTTATAGGGGAAGGAAGAACACCATTTTAAGGTCTCTCCTCAGCAGTTCATTCTCCTGATGATAATTTTTAAGAGTCTTGTACTCTGTTCCAAAGGAAGATATCCACCTCCTCTTATGTTGGTCTAGATGATTGATCATCTAATAGACAATCACCATACAAAAAAGGGAGCAAACGGTAAAAATTAAATTATTTCTGTCTCAGGATTTTGCTGTCCTTAGTTTCTTAGTGTCCCACATTTAATTTAAACAGTGATAGTATTATTATGAAACCTAGTATTACGAAAAGTGTTACCACTGGCCCCAGTGAAGAAAATCTTTACCAAAGAAACTCTGTACAGCTACAGGAGTATAGTACATAGCAACACAGTTGTTTTACACAGATGGATGATGAGTGGTATCACAAAAGGGGAGTTGAAGGAATGCTGTTTCCTTTAGTGAATTAGCAGAAGAGGAGGCATAATGGCCTTGCCTTCCAGTTCCTGTATATTAATCTCTGTGGAGCAGTGCCTGACATTGCTCAGATGTCAGATGCTGTTTATAACTAGGCTGGAAACATAACATAGAACAAAACAGTATCATTAATTTCTCTTGAGACTGTATATGCATGTTTTAGGTTAGCTGTTTTTTCACTGGTGCACATAGTACAAATGTGGTATCAGCAATATTGTAGGGTGGCTTGAAAAGTCATTTTATCCAAGAATTTGTCCAGCTGCTCTCTCAATCCATGACCAAAAGACCACAAGGTGCAAAGGTTTTCACAGGACAAGTATGACATGTCTTGGGAAGTACCACCATCTTTGCTTGATCCTGCCGCTTTTAATGACACCCAATACCACCGTCGGAGGACAGAGAAGCAACATTATCTATTCAGCATCTCCATGCCAATTGTGATAATTGTGATTTGATGAGTGTTTGTCACCTTTCCTTGTTTCCTGCTATTTGCACTGAAGGCTAATTCTACTCTTTACTGCCATTCTTCATATAAAAGTGTTCCATAATTTGAATAATTCTTTCCACTCTTCCTAAGGTCTTACCTACTGCCACATCGTTTTAAAGTGGGAAGCAAGAATCACAGACAGTATTCAAGTGTGAACGGTGTCAGAAGAGGTTGGGTGCTTTTTAACAAGAATGTACTGAAATGTAGACAGAAATATATTACAAACCCAGTGACTTTAGCCCTGCCTACACAGGGCTCATACAGAGCCTGAAGGGCAAGCAGGAGCATTCAGAAGGAAGTGAATGACTTCCTTCCCCAGTAAGCATTTCCCTTTTAAGAGATTATTCCTGCCTCTGACATCCTCTTGTGCTGCTACTTTGGGAATACACTAACAGTTGTCCTGCCTGAAGCACTGGAGAGCAGCTGGAACTCCAATCCATGCCACTCTTCCTGCCATCACATGGCCTGAATCCACTTGCTTTAGAATAAATTTTTAATAGCTAGACATCTGCTTAGTTTGGTTTTGAATATATTTTTCTATCCATGTAATAAAGGATTGATAATAAAGGATTAGTAAAGAATGTTATTTAATAAATCTGTACAATGGTACATTTAGCTTCCAAAAGTTCTTAATTTATACAGCTTTTACCAGTTTTCTATGTGAGGTTTCACAAATCCTGCCTTTTCATCACTAAAATTGTGGTTCCTTGCTGTATTTATACAGAACAGTGTACAGTCTTGGCATAGTTTAGCATTTTATTAAAACTAACATACTTTTGCCAGGAGAGAGGAAATATCTATCTATTGTTCTGTTGCTGTAGATGGAGTAAAGGGATCTTTAGGGAGTCCCTGATTGCTCTAGGAAGTTATTGCAGGATGGTGTTATAGCCGAGACTAAGGAACTATCTGCTGAAACTGCAGTGAAGTTTGAAAGCTGTTCAGCTCACTTAATAAAATGTTTATATATCCTGTTTAACTGCACACTGAACAATATTGAAGAAAGGAAGTTACTTCAGATCAAATGAAGTTTTATTAATCAGAAAGCTTATAAATAGCAAAACAAGTTAGATAATTTAAATCTGTTTATTATTTTTTTTTTTTATTTTTCCTGGACAACGCTGTAGCCCTCTCCAGGGAAAAAGAGAAAATTGTACAGTGGTAAAAGAAATGTGTCATTGGTCTGGCGGTTCAAAAGGTGACTCAGTACTAGTTTGACTTTAAAGACTGTGACCTCAGCAGTTGGATCATAGAATCATAGAATAGTTAGGGTTGGAAACGACCTTAAGATCATCGAGTTCCAACCCCCCTGCCATGGGCAGGGACACCTCGCTCTAAACCATATCACCCAAGGCCTTGTCCAACCTGGCCTTGAACACTGCCAGGGTTACCTGTTTAAAAAAAAAAAAACAAACTTATGAATACAGTATTTTTCTTTTGTCTTAATGCTTGAGTCATGCAGTCCTATAGAGGATCTCTCTCAGCAATTTTTAACTCACTTTTCAGATTTAAATATGTAAGAGTACTTCATATTGTCCAAAATAAGATCCCAGCAAGCAATTAATTGTTAAGCACTTGTAGTTTATCTTTGAGAGCAAAAAGGCATATTTAGAAATTTAATCCCATCTTAGCTGTAATTAAGAAAGACATAGCAATATTTTTGTAATGTAATTTATAATAGTGCTTCTCATTTGGTGTCATATAATTTTAGAGACTTCCGCTACTTTTTTTCCAAAACAGAAATACAAAAGGATTTCCATTCTGCTACGTCTGATTAACAGTGGCTGTTGTCTTACTCCTACCCAACTGCCTTCATTTGGTTTTGGTTTGGCTTTTTTACCCTGAACTGCTTAAGCTCATACGCGTTATGAACCTGGACACTGCAAGAAAACTTAACTGCAGTATCTGGGAGCACACCACTTCACAAACTGCATGCTTGTCAGAAAACCCTTTACAGCTTTAACACCTTCTAGTGGTTTTAGAGTGTGGAGGGTTGAGCTCTGGAGCCTCCTGAAGCATGAAGTGCCATTCGTATGCTGTCTGCGCAAGACTGGTGCGACGTACTTAAACTCCAGAAGCATGCCTTTTCCTCGATAGCAATGGGTTTTGCCTCAGAGTGGAAAAAATGTGAGGAGAAAAGCAATACAAACCTACTATTGATGGTTCTGCAGTACCTTTCTAAGTGCCTGTGCACATCTGTGCAGAAGCTCACAATGCAGTGATCAAATTCTTACAGCTGTTCTGGGGAGACCTTTCCTCCAGTTGGCAGGAGTTGGGTTCCTTAATCCATTTTTAAAGAGTGTGATTGAATTTCCCCATAGGTACTCTGGCTCCAGCTAAGGTGTTCATGTAACCTGATGCTATTTGTAACAATGGCTGGAACGGCCGTTTGCTTCCATGCTCTCTCTTCATATCCTGTGAACGTGGAGTTTTCCCAAAGAGTAAAGAAAACGGGATGACAGCAAATGATCCTATCTTATGTCAGTGCCTTTATCTTAAGTATGTTTAAAAGCACTACAGATTTTCCAAAACCAACATCTCGAGTTTATTGATAAAAACAGATGACTTTCAAACTCCAAAATGCAAGTTTTCCTCAGGTAATGAAACTTTCGTATTGCACGCAGGAACCTGAAGAGACACGCTGCGTTGTTTCGAGTGGCAGAAGCGCTGAGCAATCACAACCTCCGGGCAGAGCAGGCTCAGTGCCGCCGCTCAGCACTTTAGCGCACATCGGCTCCTGCATTCTGTTTACCTGGCCGTGACCAGAACCGCGGCCGCAGCGCCTCAGTGTGCCGGGATCCCCTCCGCAGGCCACAAGCCGCTGCGAGTCCTCCCGGCACCGCGCATGCTGCTGGGGCGGGGCGAGCCGCCGTGCGCTCCATCGATGACTCGAGGTGCGACTAGCGCTGCTTGACTGCTTCCAGTCCGGAGCGATCGCTATCCCGGAGCCCGTGCCGCTTTAGGGGGAAGGAGGATGGTGAGGGGCAGCTGGGCCGGGCCGGTTCGGGCCGGGGCACCCCGCGCTCCCTGCCAGGGCTGCGGAGCGAGCTCCAGGGGAAAGGGGAGGGCGAGGAGGAGGGAGCGGGGCCGTGAGTAAGCAGTTCCTGGGCCATGCGGGGCCGGGCTCGCCGCGGGCCGGGGACAGGCCTGTGGCTGAGCCTCGCCGACGGGGCTGCCCGGGGAAGGTGGAGGTCGCGCTTCCCTCACTGGGGCTGGGACAGGGAGGGAAGGAAGGGGAGTGTGGCGTCGGCGGTGGGGCTCGGCCCGTTTGGCCCTCCTCAGCGCGGCGCGGCCCGGCCCGGCGTGACGGTGCAGAGCGGCGGGTCAGCGCTGCAGGCAGGCCGAGCAGCATCGTTCAACCTGGCGCGGAGCGGGACAGGCAGCGACAGTGGCTCTCCCAGCGTGGCACTGGGGTCTGTTCTTACGCCCCTCATGGCCTCGCCGTGCCCTGAGGATGCTCCTGGACTCGCGCTGCCAGCGCAGCGCATGCTCCGGCTGCAGAAGGGAGTTGGCCGGCAAGCGATCCCTGCCTCAGGCCTGGGAACGGACGCGTCGTGTAGGGGGCCCGGTAACAAAACGGCCAGAATTGGAGGTTGGACGGGGCTTGGAGCAACCTGATCTAGAGGAAGGCGTCCCTTCCCGTGGCAGGGGATTATAACTGGATAATCTTTAAGGTTCCTTTCAACCCAAACCATTCCATGATGATTTGCTTGGGAGTGCTCTTTCTGCCAGCTTATAAATTACACTAATGGATTTTATTTTGCTTATTCTAGTTTCGCAACCAGTATGACAATGATGTTACAGTTTGGAGCCCACAGGTAAAATCTTTGTGAGCTTGCTAACAGACTTCTTCCTAGCTATTTGGTTTTCTTCCACTCTAGCAGAATTGGTGTCACAATAGTGTAGATTGTGTTCAAGTGCCTAGAGCTTGCGGCAGTCTGCTCCCTCTGGCTTTGTAGGCTGCTTTCTACAAGGCTGTTAACACCTCTCTGAGCTTCTGTGTATGAACCTGAGTGATGCTTAGGTGGGCCATGTTACCTCAAAGTACTTAAGGCCGTTGTTTTCTGAATGTACCTGTGAGGTACAAAATGGATGCTATCTCTGGGGCTTGGAACTAGATGATCTTTAAAGGTTCCTTCCAGCCCAAACCATTCTGTGATTGTATGATCAATTTACAGACCTATAATGAAAAGTTAAGATATGAAAAAGCATGAAACTGAGCTTAAATCTCCCCTGTGTTAAGCTACTGCTAGGTCATTCTCTTTTTTTTTACTAGCTAATATTGGAAAGGAATTATTTGGTTTACAGTTGGGAAGAACTAATTTTTTTTAGGAACTTTATTGTATTCAGATTTTTCAGAATAAAAATAATCTGTATGTTTTTTCAGATTATCTCTGGTTTTATGCACAATTACACAATTTTTGTAGACTTACAGTAAGCCCCTCTTTGAATGACGGTACCCATGTGGCAGTCTGAAATGTGGAGTCTGAGATACTGATTTTTGTAGTATGAGTTCACAGATCTTAATTTTTGAAATTGAATTGAAATGGTTAAAAAAACCCTGCTGAGTGAGTTAGATGTATAATGCTTGTAATTATAATGTTGAGAGCTAGAACGTGTGAGTGGTTAAACGCCATTTTGTAATGCAGTTAACACTGTGCTTCAGGTATGAAGTCTGTGCAGCTGTGTTTCCCATGTTGTGGAATGTCAGGGAGGCTTCACGCTATCTGTCTTTAAGGTTATATTGAGATGTACTCCTAAATTGGAAATGTTTTTACCTCCGAATCAGTTTTATATTGTGTATTGCTATTAAAATATATATGGTGTGTTCTGAAACTCACATAGGTTGTGTTGACTTCCAAATAAATATTCTAGAGCTTTAAAAGCAAGTGTCGGTTCAGGTGTTTACTACCGCCTCCTCTCTTGGTATGAACATTTTAAGATAGGATACTAATGGAAAAACAGAGTCTTGAAAATTGACATGTTTCTAGCAATAGCAAAACTAAAGCTTTATTTTAAATGCAAATAGTAAATTGTATTAATGTAAAGTTAATATAACTTTAGTGGGTTTATATTAATACTGAAAATCATGGTCATGTAGTAGTATTGTTTAAAGATACATTTTCAACGTATGTTGCAATAGAGCATGTTTCCTACTTTTCATCCTATATGAAGACAGTCTTGAATGTTGGAATGTTCTTTAGTCAGTACCATGGTGGCTGTAGATTGCTTTGAACTGGTTTATTCTTCTTAAAATTTAATTACTTTTAAAACTGTCGCATTCTCTTAACACCTTAAGTAGATATTATGAAGTCATCAACATTTTTTCTTTCATAAATTGCCTCGAAAATTTGAGTAGTGTTGATATCTTTTGTAAAAGACATTCAAAATTGCTGTTGTGCTGCAATTACTGCTCCATACTGTCCTGTAGGTGAAGCAGTGATACGATACTGCAATAATCCTTGATACAGGAGCAAAGAATAATCACATTCTATTAGGAAAGGTTTTAAAATATTGTTATAAAGAAAAGGGAATAAGAGATTAAAGGCTAGAAGGGATTTTGCACTTTTACAGCCTTGCAAGTCATTCATGAATGTTGGTAAATAGATGTTGGACAGTGTTTCATACTGCTGGACAGTATTCACAGTGATTCCATACTGCTCTTGGGCAGGAAATATCCCATGTTACTGAAATTTGATTTATAACTTATGGATGAAATGGAATGGTAGGGTATCTTAAACATCTAGCAGACTTCGCATTTCTCTAGAGAAATTAAGTGAAAAGCCTTGTACCAAAAAAAAAAAAAAAACCAACAAGTTAATAGAAAGTGATTTCCTGTAATCTCCAATACATTTCACTGTAGGGAGCTCCATCACAACTGGTGGGATGCAACTGTGTACTGTGGTCAGTAATTCTAGTACTTGCACATCAGCAGTGAACATGCTGACTATTTGATGTAGGGTGGCCAACTAGAGTGCAGAACATGAGCTGTGTTGCCCTCAGTTGTTGCATTAAGAGGACATTGTCTTATTTTCTTCCAAAGCTCCTGGCTGCCTTTGCAGAACTTGTGGGGACTTAAATGTCTTTGAGACCTCTACTCCTCTTTCAGACTTTACTGTAGTTGACTAAGAACTTGTTTAGAAGTTATTAGGGAATGGATAGTGAGACACAACAATTGCATAAGACGTGTTTCTTCATGAAACTCGATTAAAAGTTAAGCATCCAAGTTCAGCTGGAAGGTCTGTCTTTGAATCACACTGGGTCAAATACTGATTCCTCTGAAGACAGTGACAGAAGTCTTATAATGGCAAGATTTTTTGCCACTTTTTTTTTTTTAGTTTGACTGTTTCTTTGTATGCAGTAATGAGTGGCTCAGAGACGGCCAGCTTTTTGGCAGGTTAATAGTGAGGTGTTTCTGGAAGTTGACAGAGGAAGTCTATTGTAGGTTTAAACTGTTATGCAGTAAATTAGGGTGGAGGAATGAAACGTTTGAAAACCAAAAACTGTTGAAACTTGATTCAGATTATTAACTTTACAATGATTACTTTTGATTTTATTCTCTAGGGCCGAATTCATCAAATAGAATATGCCATGGAAGCTGTGAAACAAGGCTCAGCTACTGTGGGGCTGAAGTCGAAGACTCATGCTGTCCTGGTTGCTCTCAAGGTAATGTCAAATCTGTGTTCTCAGGACAGTGATATTAGCAGAAAAGTTTTGATTTGGCAAATCAGTTTTGCGCAGTCTGAGCTCTTACGTGAATGCAATCAATCCCAGCTTCCTTTTGCTTGTGTATCAGTATTGGACTATAAATATTTTCAGTGCCTATGTAAAGCAGATTTTCATAGATTTTTGAAGGAAGTGAGTGGTTTTTCTTCTCTTTAAAAGATTTGTTCCTCTTCTTTTAATTTTTTTTTTTTTTTCATTAGTTATTAAGTGGTAAAACTACTTCTTTCCCAAAGGCTTGAGTGTCTGTTGTTTCTTTCATTCTGGCAGTTTCCTACTGAAATGGAAATAGGTTTCTGTTTCAAGTTTATAAATTTGTTTGTTTGTTCCATGATCATACTCAGTTCTTGCTGTAAATGTTAGCACATTTCTCCACAGTGCTTGGCAAACTGTTCAGGCTGCCACATTGCTTTTTCCTTTTATGCATAGAGAGCACAGTCTGAGCTCGCAGCTCATCAGAAGAAAATCCTGTACGTTGACAACCATATTGGTATCTCTATTGCTGGACTTACTGCTGATGCAAGACTCTTGTGGTGAGTATTTTGGTTGTTGACATACATGGTTCTGCAATAATGAGTGAAAGTTCATTTGTAGACTATTGCAAATGAAATTTTCTGGTCAGCTAAGGATTAGTATTGAATTGCTGCTCTGTTGTACTATGCCAAAGACCTCAGCATGAAATTCTGGCAGATGTTTAACTAGTTGGGAGAAATCTCACTTGTTTGTCCCAAAATTTTGCTCTTTGGTTTTGTTACTAGTATGACAGTCCTGTCTGGTTTCCTCAGTGCAATGGAGTTTCCAAGCAGTCTGGGAAAGTACATCACTTAGATCCCACTAGCAGCTGCTTCTGTGTATGTACATTTAAGAAAGTTATTAAAGAAGTACACTGCTGCATGTTTCAGCTTCAGAGGGGCTTACTTTTTACCTGCTGGCTGTATAGTTTCATCAAATGAGGTAAATGTACACAGAAGGAGGAGCCTTCCTCAGTTGCTGTAGCATTACAAAGAAGTGTTACCATTTCACTGTGGCTTTTTTCCAGATGGTGTCTGTTGCGTGAATTTCTACCTTCTTTGCATTTGTATGGCTGAAATACAATAATACTCTTTCAAACCTGTGGTCAACTATAAATAACAGTGATAGGTCATGATGAAATGAAATTATGGAATGCCTTTGACCTTTTTTCTCAAGGAGCAGAGTTGAAACAAAAATGCTTACAGTAAGAGACAAGTATTGAGACAAAAACTCATTGTGACTTTGATCTCTGCATTGGTTTGATTTTCTTTCACCCCACCTTCCTTTTTTTTTTTTTCCTTCCTCTTAGCAATTTCATGCGTCAGGAATGTCTGGATTCTAGATTTGTGTTTGATAGACCTCTGCCAGTTTCTCGCCTAGTGTCACTAATTGGAAGCAGTATCCTTTTTTTACACTTGTATCACTTTTACAGCTTTTTACTTGTTCATACATGTTCATAAAATTTTCCTATATCCCAGCTTAAAAGTCAATTTACATTAAAAGAGTTAATTCAAAGTTAATTTTTCTTTACTCACATAGCTTGTGTATTCTTTCAGAGAATACCTCATAACGTGCACTGAACTGATAGAGAAGCAATAAAGTGCTATGCAACATTTAACATGGCACTGTTTTTTATTCTTACATAGCACCATGCCTTTGGAGGTGGGGGAGAGGAGGTGACTGCACCATCCAAAATAGGATAATTTACTGGATTGTAGTTGCTCACTGGGATACATATATATATATATATATACACACACATATATATACACATATATATGTAGTTTTTTATCCTGTGGCAACTTCTGTCTCTCCATGGAACACAGCTGAGGCCTTGTATTCTGATGTCAGGTGCCTAGAAAATGCTCAAAGAGATAAGAAATTAAATGAGGCTGTGCAGCATTAGGTGAGGTGTTTGTATTACTTGGTTTAATGCACCACTCAGTTATTTCAGAAAAGCTAATTTCTAAATTTGTTCTGATGGAAAAAAAATTGGTATTCCAGTTCATTGTGAGATCTGGGGGTTTTTTTGAACATAGTCTTCACTCCTCAGGAAGGTTTGCTAAGGCTGTATAATGGTTTTGGTGTATCTTTGCTTGGCTTAGGAAAATGGGTAATTAGGATGTTATTTTGAGATTGTTTCCTTAGCTTTCTTAAGAAACCCAGATACCAACACAGCGTTATGGCAGGAGACCGTATGGAGTAGGACTGCTCATTGCAGGTTATGATGTAAGTAAGCTTCAGTAGTTACTATTGATCTAGAAGAAAATGTGCTTAATGCAATTCTATACAACAAATACCTGTTAAGAGGGGAAGATGGAAGAGGCAGACTTATCAAAATTCTCACAATAAGTAAATAATTTTCTGTATCTTGACCTAAAATATAACTTTCAAAAATGCTTCTGAATAGCTAATTCTACCTACACTTACGAAGTGTACATTTGCAAAAATGAACAACTCTTTACTGCAAAAATTAGATTTGTGTTTTAAGGGATCAAAGTGTTGATCCCACAATTATAGCGATTATTTTACTATTGATTATGAAGATCTGTGAACTATTATTTTAAATGTTTTCAATAAAAAACGTATGTGGAAATCCTTGCTGGCCTATATCTTACTTGTTTAGCAACAGCAGTTTTCTTAATGCAGCGCACACAGAGTCTCTGACCTCAAGAAGTTTGACATGAGAAAGGTTGAAGGGAATTGTCATCTTGCCTGAAATCTTACATGGGATGTTTAAGCCTATAGCAGGTTTTTAGTTCTTTGCAGATAAGATTGAATGTGTGTGAAATACCTGCTGCAAGCCACGAAGTAGAAAGCATACATAAGCATAGTACTGCTTAAGGAACAGAGAAGGAAACACTTTAGTGCCAGCTATCCTGCCCACATAAAAACTGCATTTTAATGAACAAAGTGAAAGGAAGAATTTTTTTAATAATTTTTTTTTTTTTTAGATTATTGCTTTTTTGTTCTGTAGTTTTGAAGGAACTGCATAAGAACAGTGATATGATAAGCAATATAAAATACATTTATGTGCATATGTATAAGCTGTGTGATATGTCATGAAGCAAAACTGCTTTAGAAAATATCATGTGTTCCAGCACCAGGCTTGGTGTGAATTTATACATTTATTTCATATTCTGTGTGTTGGTTTTCTTTCTCTGTTTGTAGGATATGGGTCCTCATATCTTCCAGACTTGTCCCTCTGCAAATTATTTTGACTGCAAAGCAATGTCTATTGGTGCTCGTTCACAATCTGCACGGACTTACTTGGAAAGGCACATGACTGAATTTACTGAGTGTGAGTAGTGAAACCCTGTCTTTCTAATGGTATTCATCAGTTATGCAGTTTGTTTTCTGCTACTGCTCCATTCTTTCGCATTCTGGGAGCCAAATTTTGGTGGAAGTGTGAATCTGCATGAAGACAAAATTGTAGAGGAAATGTTACAAATTTTCATGTCTTAACTTCTGGGTGCTTATTACATCTAATGAAAAGAGAAGTTTTGCTCAGGAAAGCAGAGAAAAAAACCTAAAAAGCCTCTGCCCTGTTTAACCCAGGGAAAGGACAATTTTGTCCATAAAGGAGCAGGGATAGTATGTCAGGGTAGTTATTTAAGTGGTGCATTGAAAAAGGTGAATTTATTTTTGCATGAAATAGTGATGAGGAGGCTATTGAATAGCTGCTTAGATAAAAGAAAACAAACAACTTGATTATCACTGGTTGCTCTGGTGGCAAGGCAGGTGCCAAAACTAGATGCATGCAACCTCAAGTTTAGGGAAGGGCTTGTTTCTCAAGATACACTTATTGTCCTGGGTTCAGCTGTAGCAGTCATTTTTTTTCCTTCTTAGTAGCTGGTGCAGTGCTACCTACACCTGTCAAACCAACTCTGTATTTAGTACCAGAAAGGAGAGGAGCTCTGGAAGTCAAGTTAGCCAAGCTGATTTTCTGGTTATCAGCTAGGAATGCGAAGAAGGGAAAATGGGTGCCTAGAGATAATAGCATATAGTTTGTAAATGTCTTTCTGATTTCATTTGAAGGCAATCTAAACGAGCTAGTTAAACATGGACTGCGTGCCCTGAGAGAGACTCTTCCTGCTGAACAGGATCTGACCACCAAGGTAAAAACTAGGTTTTCTCATCAAGAAATTTTACTGTTACTAGAAATAACTGTGACAAAATTCATGTGAAATATTGCTGGCACTGAAATTTGGAAGCTGAATACTGGTAGGTAATTTCATGTCACCACTTAATCTACAGTGTCCTTAATTATCTTAGATTTAAGTTTCCTATCAAAAGTCATATTGCCTCTAAATAAGACCTTGCTTCCCTGGTGGCTTCATTATTTTAAACTTCGGTCAATGTTTAAGATACATCATATGCAACTAGAATCACAACTTGGCATTGGAAGTGCAGTCAGTAATTCACCTGGGATGTGGGGGAAGGTAATGCACAAACAGTTGATTGAATATCCAGCATCAAAAGTTGCAGAAACTTCTGACAATAAAGTAACCGTTGAAAAAGAAAATTCTGAGGGTATCTGTTAGGTGGTGTTTTGCTTGTGGCTGATCTGCCCTTCTCCATGTTTATCTTTTGTTATTCTTAGCCCTTCTTGTTTTTTAGAACTCTTAAAATAACGAAAATCCAAAATAAGACTCAAATAGTTGAGTTTGAAAAATCATGTATCTTATTAAAAATGAAAAAAAATTACAGAAATTAGAATCCTTAAAAAGTGGTTTTAATTGCAAGATTTTGAAAAGCTATAGCTTTTGTAGGGTATAAGTCTGCCTCACTTTCCTTTCCTAGTAAAATGTGCCAAAAAGGGAGTCTGTGGATTTTTTTTTTCCCCTTAAGTTGACTCAAAGAGCACAGTGAGTCTCTCTGTCGTGGGAGGAAACTTTTCATCTGTTTCACAACTGTAAAGCCAGAGTTCATTTGCAGAAGACTGCTTCACATTTCTTTTGAAACTTCGCTTGACAGAATGTTTCCATTGGAATTGTTGGCAAAGAGATGGAGTTCACCATCTATGACGATGATGATGTAGCACCATTCCTAGAAGGTCTTGAGGAGAGGCCACAGAGAAAGGTGTGTGTGGTTTAGATAAACAGGCTTTGTTGAAAGACAGCATTTTGTGATATATGACCTATCACATTTGTGTTTATGATATTTAACTCTACTACTCTAGTAGTTTTAGGAATGGGAATTTTAAAATTTGAAGCTACTATATGAAAACCACATAACCTTGGTTATTATATGAAAACCATATAACCTTAGTTGGAAACTAAGACACTTATTAAATCAGTTTATGCTGAACTGGCACCACACTGTACCAGTGTCATCTTTGCTCAAGTACAGGTTTTCACTACTTTTCAGCAGAAGTGGCTGTGCTATGTATGTTTCATGAGTGTAGCAAGATGCTCAGTCCTGCCCTATGCGTAATTTGGATATTGCTACTTTGTAAGCTATTTGCTGACATGAGCTGCATTTGCCACTGGTGGTGCTCAAACCAGTGTAAAGCTGATTTATTTGTAAAGTGGTGTCTTCTGCTTCCTAAAATACTTGTTTTTCCTTTCTTCAAGCCTGCTCCACTTGCTGATGAACTTGCAGAAAAGGCAGAGGAGCCAATGGAGCACTAGTTGGTGGATGAGTTCCTCTCTATCAATGTATGTCCAATTATACAGGAAAGTTTATCCATTTGCTGGTAACTTTATCCTCACCTATTTCTGCCCATACATTCTGAGGATTACTCTTCAAAAAAGAAAGAAATAAACCCGCCTATCCTTAAAAGGTACACAGGAGGTCATAACTGGGTGTTTCACAAGAAAGTTGTAATCTTTTCTAAATAGTACATGAAACTGTTTTTTAATAAAAAGTATACTGTCTTAAACTTGTAAGGACAAGTGGAAATAAATCACTTTCTTGGAATCTGCTGTGGGTTTGGTTTCTTTTTTAATCTGAACAAACATATTCAAATTACTCTGTTGTATCAAGGTGTCATCATGTATTTGATCATGTGTCAGAGTGAGCATTTACTTACTGTGTATAAATATGGTGCTTTGTTGAACTGAGAGGACTTTAAAATGCTTACAGAACTACACAATGGTCATGGAACAGCTAGGATGCAGCATGTTTCCCCATTTTGTCTTGTCATTGTCTCAAACTCAACTTGAAAAGACACTTCTGGTGATGGGTGTTTACTTAGAAATGTTGCAGGCTGAAGGAGCTGAAAGCTGTCAACCAGCTTGTTTGGGTTTTTTGAGTTCTCTGCTTCAGTAAACCCCAGCCTGTTTGCAGCTGAATTGTATCACTTGGTTTCTTTAGAGCCTTTAACCGGGCGTGGGTAAGGAGGGGGCTTCTAGCTCACTGATGGCCTAAACTGGAGTAAGGAGGGAAGCACCCAGAATACCTATCACAGTTTCCCTGATCTGCGCAGCCCCTGCAGTGCTGTGAAATAAGCCAACTTCCTTCAGCGTGTTCTGCATGGTCTGACTGGGGGGCACCCACGGCCTGCTGGGATTCAGATTTGGGACTAACAGTGGCTTCTTTATGGGCAGCTGCCAGGGAAGCTCAGTGAGTCGGTGCTTCCAAAGTGCAAAATGGGTGTGAGGCTGTATTTTAAGCAAAAAAGGGTTCAGTTGGTTTTTTTTTTTTTTCCCATTTTCCATGTTGGTTCATCCTGTTTTAGTTATTCTCACTCACGAACACATGAAAAAGGGTAAACAAGTTTTTTGGGGTGGACGTGCACAGGAACCTGATCACCTGCTCAATGTACTATATAAAAACCCAAACCAAAACAACCCAAATGAAAATGTGAAACCCAAAAGACTAACACACCTTGTATTTATTAATAAAGCATAGTGCTATTTTGAACAGGCTTTAAGACAGGCTGTGGATTTGGTTTTAAGCATTAGATAGCTTATTATTACTTTCCCCTTTTATATTTTTCTGCTGTTATTTTTGTTTCTCTATTATTTTGCTATTTATTCCCCCATATTATTTTAAATTTTTCCCCAGTAGTGAAAATAGCTAAACTATTAATTTTCTCCGCATTTATTCCCCCCATTTATCTGTATTTATTTGTCCATCCCTCTGTGTGTGCCTTACTCGTACCCCTCGGGTGCCTGTTCCCACCCGCCTCCCTCCCCGCTCGAGGAAAAAACCCGCCCTGCAGCACCGCTAACGTAACCGTGACGTCAGAGGCGGGAAGCCCCGCCTCCCGCCTTCGTGGCGGTCCGGCGTCCACCTCTTCCCCACCCGTATGACACCACTAAGGGGGCGGGGTCTCGGCAGAGGCTCCGCCCCTTTCGCGGTGCAGTACTGGCGAAAGGCGTGTCCCGCTGGGGCCGCCGTACTATCGATGTGGGCTCGGAAGGAGCGGTTCCACGTCAGCTATCGCCGGAGCGGGAGCGCCGCGGGCAGAGCTCCGCACCGGGCCCGTCTCGACTCGACTGGCCCGGGCCGCGCCGCGCCGCCACACTTCCTGGTAGGGAGCCTTGCGCCTGGAGAGCAGCCGGGCTGTGGGGTGTATGGTGGGGAGTGAGCCATGGCGGTGAAGCCGCCCCATGGGGCCCGCAGGCCCGAGGCCTCACTGCCCCGGCGGCATCTTCCTGGTGGTTTCCTGAGGGGAGCCCCCGGCGCCATGGATAGGGGACGTGGGACGGTGGTGTGGTAGGCCCCTGAATTTCCTCAGGGGAATGGCAGGCAAACGGCAGCATAAAATGTTTTAGCTCATAGCTGAAAAGGCTAGGCGTTTTGAGCAAAAAATATTAGCCTGGAAAGCTGAGAGAAATGTCCCCAAGTTGGCTATAAATTTACTTGGGATTTTTGAATAAGGGTTTTACTGTAATAAACGTTAATATATTGTAGGTGCATCAGTGAAATGCTGCTTTTTCAGGCGGTTGGTTTGTAAAGTATCCCCATTCATAAGGCTCCCCTGGGTGTAGGCAGGCGACGCTTTTTGTCCTCCTGTGTTGTACAAACTGAGTAACTTTCACTTTTCTTCTCCAAATAACTCGGAAGTTTTGTTGCTGGAGAAGCAGCACGTACTTCTGTGTCTGGGGATGCTCCGTAAGAGTAAACCGTGGTTTCAGGGCTGGCGCCGTACAAGGAGAAAGACTCGGTGGTGGTTCTCCCTGCCAAGTCTCCCAGCTCAGCATTTGTGGGGGATTTTCACTGCTGCTTTTCAGAGCCTAAAACACTCCACGTTTTCATGCCTCAGAGACCTTTTCGGCTGTGATTTTGGAGAGTATTTCTGCAGTTGATATCTGTATACGAGTAAAACTACCTGGTCTGCTTTTTGCAATGGTCTGTGTTATGTCGTGTGAGAGTCATCATTAGAGATGAAGGTGCTAGCTGCAGGGCTTTGGGGCAGGAGCTGTGGGTAACAGTATGGAAAAGGCCTGCAAAAAGCTGCTGCTGAGGCAAGAAAGCACTCGTATTTCTAAAAATGAGCAGGAATCTTTTCTGTAGGTACTGGTAAGCAACAGCTTGAAGGATCTAGTAGTTAAAAATACAGAATCCATAACAGAAAAGAGGTGTTGTGTTTAGGTTGTGGGTTGTTTTGGGCCTTTTTAATTGTATTGCAATCACTTTTTGGGGTATTTGTTGTGGTGATATTTTAGTTGTGTTATTTTCCTGTGTAGAAAGAGGCTGTGGCCCAAGTTAGCACAACTTGCCTGCTTTCTGTTCTGCCTGAGGTTCTCTAGGTGCCCATATGATGAGAAAAGGGATGTCAGACCCAGTACCAGGTTGTGTAGGGCCTCAAGTGTTCATTCAAATGCTGCAATTCTGTCTCACTTTCTATCTCCTTCCTCAGAGCTGTTTGTGGGGCAGTGCTTTTAACCGGGCTGGGAATGGGTGTTTGTTGGTCTTTTGGATCTTGTTTTCCTTACTGCTTCAAAAGAAAGGTAGGGAGTGGAGAGTTTACAGTGGTTGTATCTCAAAAATTGTCTACACAGGTTAAAGAAGTGTTTTGAGGTGGAAGCTGGTGTCCCCAGACAATGACTTTTTGAACTGATATGTTATTGAATGCGTTGTGTTGGGGAGCTATGGCCCTACTCAGGACCAATCAACTTAGCAGACAAATGATGTGCAGTGAAAGCATAGCCTTGAGTTGGAGAGCTGTGGAGTTCAGTGTTCTCACCTTTATGTAAATCACAACCTTTGATGGGGATCATTTTGTTCAGTTCTGTTGGCTCTGTTGGTAGTTAGCCATATTAATTATGTAAGCCATGCATGCTTTTACACAAGAGGACAAGAGATAATGGCCTCAAGCTGAGCCGGGGGAGGTTTAGGCTGGGTATTAGGAGAAATTTCTTCACCAAGAGGGTAATTGGGCATTGGAGCAGGCTGCCCAGAGAAGCTGTGGAATCGCTGTCCTTGGAAGTGTTCAAAACCAGTGTAGCTGAGGTCCTTAGTGGTGGCCTTGGCAGTCCTGGGGTTAAGGTTGGACTTGGTGATCTTAAAGGTCTTTTCCAACCTCATTGATTCTGTGATTCTGTGAATAATTGGCTGATGTCTCATATCATAATTTAAAGTAAGAAGACATCTTGTTTTAATGATTTGTTAAACTCATTCTAAGAGTCCCAGAAAATTAACAGCAATAAAGTAACTTTTTTGTAATTTTTTAACACTTTTTCTGTAGAAAATGCAAATTTGCACCTTTAATAAAGTATCAGTTTTCTGTACTGCCCTTGAAAGTATGGTATCTTAATTTTAATTGAGCAAACTCAAACTTGAGCATTTTTTTAATGAAAGAAATGGAATAAAAGGATTGATTTAATCCTAGATGTCTGTTATATATGTAAGAAACAAACATGAGAATGAGGGTTGAGTGTAATTGCCGATTCTGTTACCGGAACTATCGGCCACACAGCAGCTTTGATAGGTTTGTCACCTCTTATACTTTGTCACCACAAAAATGCTTACTGTTCTCAGTAGCGTCTAGTGGAGCAGTTGGACAGCAGAGTTGAGCTGATGCTTGCCATGTAGAAGGGCAGTGCTGCTTCCCTCTCGACCATGTTGACTTTACTCCCATCCTGGGTATCTGCTCTGTTGGATCTTGTGCTCGTCTTCAAAGCTTCCTTTATAAGCTGATTCAATTTGTTAAACAAGTAAAGTATTCCTTTTGGGGGGGGGGGGGGAGGAGGCTGGCAGTGTGGTTTTTTTCTTTGGTTTTTAGCTGATTTTGCAGCTTTTGCCAGTTCTCCTCGAGGGGCACAGCCTACAGGGAAAGTGGTGGGAATATATAGCCAGAATGAGGAGGAGAGTAGGTGAGGGAAAAGCTGCTTCATCTATTCAGCTGCAGTCAGCTGCATGTGTTATGTCTGACTGTGCTGTAAGTATTGAAAAGTTTTCTTTCATTACCCTTTTCCTTTAGGAAAATGTCACACTCTTCATTGTTTGGTATTAACAAGATTTTTGTGCAACAGAAAATTGAGAAGGCTTTTGAATGTGGCTTCTTGAGAAACCCAGCAGTCCCTTCAAATCATTAAGTGGGCTGCAAAAACATTTTTGTGTTTGTTAATAAGACCTGTTAACTTTGGGATGGCTTTGTTTGCTTCTTTTTTAGGTTGGTTGATATTTGTGTCAAAATAAGTCTTCCATTGAGAAAACTTCTGTAACCAAGAACCATGACTGCTGCAGAGAACGTGTGTTACACGTTAATCAATGTTCCCATGGATTCAGAACCGCCTTCTGAAATCAGCTTAAAGAATGACCTAGGCAAGTAATGGACAAAAATTTGAAGGGTACTTCTTACCTGAGTTATTCTATCATTCTCTCATTGCGCCTTTTCTAGAACATTTACATTTTATAAACTCAAACAAGTCAATTTAATGTTTATTTTGTTCTGTTTGCCTTTTTTCTTTTAATGTATACATTCCTCTGTTTTTGTTTTTAGAAACTTCGTGTTATTTATCTGATGT